GGGGAGGGTGACACTGCAAGCATTGACAGAAGTGGTGATTGTGTGTGCGAGGATGGATGACAAGAAGGTCAGTAGTAGGGCAATTGGTGACAAAGGTTTCCTTCCACTGCTACGCATGTGCAACTAGTTTAATTATCTTATCTGCGGAAGTAGTAATGCAGTCATACGTAAGCAAAGTAATTCATTGGACCGCAATGTCGATCGCGAAATCTATTCGTCCTCAGCTTCAGCCAATCAGAAGTTGCGGAGCGTGCATCCCCTCTTTAACCTGTCCAGGATTCATTTCTTTGCTTTTCTGCCTGTCCAACGTCAGATTTGTCCGTGCTTGGAAATCGCTCTTCATCCACATTTTAATTAATTATTTTTCTCATTGTCAGTTAATTTTCTTTGTTACTTCATTTCATGTTAATCATCAATTTCTTCATTCTGCAGCTATTCGGTCGTCAAACTCCATCCAACAGTACATCAATCCCTACTTTTGGAACACTCCTGCGGAGGAAACATTGGCATCTTGCATCCATTTCCAGCATTGATCGACTGAAGTAGTGCCACTCGCGTGAATGAGTCTTGTCCTTCAAACTGTCAATCTTGACAGTTTTTGCAAAAATCATGTGAGTCTCATCCTCTACCCACTCCCAAGGCTTTACCCCTATTCAACTTATGCATATTTCGAGCTCTCTTATTACACACACGCAACTAATTATCTCTGACGTGTTTACAATTGCCAACCATGGAGTCTAGACCACCAAGACGAGTTGTCATATGACGTGCGTAAGCATATTAAAAAGGTTTTAAAAGTAGCTAACTTGTGGTAGACATGCATAATTAGAGGAGACGCCTTTCCTTTGTATTCGCTTGCCATCTCTGGAAGAACACCTAGTGCCACTAATCGCTTGAACTCCTCTCAGAGACTCCCTAACCGGTAATAGGCTTTGAAAGTGCCTTTTAGACTAGCCTTGTGGCCAAATAATTTTCCAACTTTTGCTCTTCATCATTTTGATGGGCAGTTCGCAGTCTCTCCATTCAATGAAGCGAATGGCAGTCGAAGCTTCCATCATCAATCTTCCATATCATCCTAATTTCACTCATCCAGTCGAAGGCAATGCAGTGCATGTTGCGACATCAGATGACCCCAGACCCGATTTAGCATCAGGATGTGAGTCATGGGGTAATTTTAAGACCGGTCATGTCCAAGCGGTTGATTAGGCATTGACCACCTTAAACGAAGTCTATGCCATTCCCTCTTTCACCACAATTTGTAAGTTACAGCAATTTAAAAGACAAGTCTCTCTGAATTGTTGGGAAAAAAACTTGATGTGACAAGTGTCAATGCCAAGGAGGATTAAAATGTGTGTGGTGGGGATGAGGGATTCTCTTAACTGTCATTTTGGTGTTCTATTGTTTCCCTTACCCGCTTATAAGCAAATCACGAGCATCACCAACACGACGAGTGCCGCCTGAAAGGTAAAATGAGGTGTCAAGAGGCATCATCGTGTCCTAGTTGTGGAGTCAGAGTTAAAGACCGACCTGGAAGAGAATGGCGACAATTGCGATGTACATAATACTCTTCATTTTGGCCGCGGTGAAGTCGGCAATCTTCTGTCTACAGCCCTTTATCCTATCCTGCTTGGCTTTCTGGTCATCACATGCTTGTGTCGAGTCAGCGCAGCAAAATGGAACCAGTGGCGCATGTGGTTTAACTAGAAGCATCGCAGAATTGTATGCATGCGCAGAAAGGCGGCAACAAAATGAGGCAAATTAATGCAAAATAAAATTACCAATATCCTCATAGCCATCCATGGCACAACAGTGCGGTTCCGTCTATTAAAAGGAAATATTTGGGCAGTCAACAAAGGTTGATTTAAGGAAAATGAGATATATTGCAAATTTTACACCCTTACGCTCATAACCAAGTTCCAAACAGTTGTTGGCATATTCTGGGTGGTGGAACCTGTGTCATCGTAAGATCGAAGAAGCTCGCTCATCGATTCGATCACCCACTTGCCAACTCTGTTGGGGTCGGAGAATACTACTGCAACTAGGATTATTTGTACCACAAGCAGAACAATCAAAATGGCGGCGTACTAAAAGTGAGGAGGGCAATAACAAGTGTCCATAATGTGCACACATTTGTCTCCATTACCTCCTCCGACTTCTACTTACAATCTTTAGTAGCAATTCAAAACCACAGCACGAAGCAATGCATCCGAGCAAACAAAGGGCTGCTAGTGCTAATCCAATCACAATGAGGGCTGCAGCGACGCCACCTAGGGGATTCAAGTCAACCAAATTATGTCAAGTCATATATGGACCAGGTAGGTGTTGAGGTGATGCTTCTGGCCTACCGGAATTGTCCGTGATGAATTGTGCAAATACCTTCACCTGCTCATCTGTAATTTTGGATTTATCAAAAACTTTCTCCACTATCGATTGGACAAGTCCGCTCGATGTTCTCAAAACGATGCCAAACACTGCTACAGCCATGAAGGCCACCTAGGAAGGGAGAGGAGTGAGGTAACTTCCAATCAATCCACCGCAAAAGCAATGCCATCCATAGTTAGCACTCACGAAGAGGACGAGGTTGAAGACTTGTAGGACAAGCTTCAGGCCACACGAAATAACACTGCCCATGCTAGAGAGGTGCACACAATTGGGTGAAGAATGTTGTGGTAGTTGGAGAACAGCAAAGGAAGGAAAGAACTCACCTCAGTAGATTTCCTAGTTGTGTCTATGAAACCTTGGCTGCAGACACAATGAGGCCTAATTTAGAGTTAGCCCAACGTATGCTGTACCCAATGCCCTTCGTGTTACCACGATGAGTGCGCGAGCTACTGGTCACTAGGTGGCCAATAGGGGTGGGGGATTGGGTGCGTGCAAAAATGATTGGTGGATAAACTGGTCGACCAATCATTTATTCCGTAGGCGTAACTGCTCACATGAATGCATATTTGCGTGGGTTCGAAGGCCTTTCTTTCTGTCAATTACTGCACATGACTGAGAGCAGCAGGATCTCATTGCCAACGCGTGTAAAGTCGTTGGTAGGTGCACCATTCTGCTATACTCAGTCTGCATTGTCGATAAAGTTGTTCAAACCTCTCCATTTCACCCGGTCCTCATTAGAATACAAAATTCACGTCTTAGGGCATTTAATAGTTGCCTACGGACCTCTTTTGTACTTAACATTTTCACATAAATATGGGTATATTTCATGGTGGATTCGTCATCATTCATTAGTGGGTATATGTTATGCAAATTACACCTACATGATCGTGTTAGGCACTTTGACCGGGCGCAATTCGATCCGTAACTAAGTTGCCTAAATAGATGATAAAGGACAAAATTCTTGCCCACATCGCTATATACCTATCCAATATGCTATGAACATCGGTGGTTAACAGGTTTTCTCCTGCTGCTTTGAGTATCAATCCATCCACCTCTGCCATTAAATAATTCCTGTTTATGCATGTGTTTATTTTGTGAGATTGCTTGAGTTATATTTAGCGGTCAGGCTAAAACACGTTTTTGGAATCAAGACGGAATCTCGATTGAGATGTTTATTGGTACTTAACCAACAAAGACATTTTATGGGAAAGACACTCCCCATCAAGACACAAATCGTAACATTTTTTACGAGCTTAATATCTGCGACCCCTCGTTCTGAGTGCAATCCTCAGCTATTATTTAACAAATCACCATGCCACTTGGGTGCATATTCTGATTTTGAGGTCGCAGGCTACACTCCGTTTCCACAAATTTTCCTTCTAACCTCAAAATCATGTGTTGTGTCGGCTAAGCATATGCCTAAGCGTAATGGTAAAAACTTTGGAAACGATTTAAGCACGACGACTAAAGCATGTCTGACAACTCATTATGCAACAAGGTAAGACGATCTCGCTTCCATATTTACAGTTATTATGCCCTTGGGGTCCTTAATGCACCGAATTGTGATGCTATGAATCAGGCCAAGCGTAGAGGGCGGGCAAATGCAGATGGCCAAACAAGCGATATCATTTGTTTAGCCCGTTTTACCTTGATGGGTAGGCAGATGATAGGATTTAATGGTGACAGTTAAACTTCTGCCGCATACGAGAGACAACTGCCACCTCTCCCATGCTGGGATATGCGGGCTGTGTTAAAAGCTACGAATATAACGTTACGTTAGCTGCTCGCCTAGTGGATAGTGTTCCCTTAGTCAACGTAAAGGTGACTAGACTAAAATCCTTTTACAAATTCATCGAGCTACCCATCTTTTCCTCCCGCCAGTTATTCTGTCTCGATATTCCTTTGCCTACACTTCTAGGCCAATACCTCCACCCACATTAATAATGCTAAATCCCCTTTGATATTAAATAAAAGAACCATCAATTTGTTGAAAAGGTACACCAAACTCTTTTTAATGACATAAAGTGCCATTCATTCCTAATAGAACCCGGTATTGGTGGAAACCTGCCACTCAACCACCTAGTTAAATTTCCCCATGCTTTTATCTTTCAGCTTCTCCCGACCTTCTCTCCTCTTACATTCCTCTGTGTCTACTTGGAATCCGCTTTCTTATAAGTTATCGTGTCACTCAAGTAAATAAAATTCATGCCTACTTTGTACCACTTTACCATAAGCACCAAATGGAAGTTTTTAAAGCCATTTGATACACTCTACCCTCATTGTGCCCCTTAAAAAAACTTCTGCTACAACACATCTCAAAGCGCCTCAACATTGAAGCTAATTAGTGCTAATCACTGCAATTAGAGTGCTGACAGCTTAACTCAATTTAGCGATATCAATAATTCATTTCCTACTCACTAATATCAGTAGTAATTTTTTAAATTGACAAGTGCAACCTTACAGACAGACTTCTTAGTGAGGCGATCCCAACGCGGCACTGCTTGGTGCTACCTTACACAGAAGAAGTGCAGGAATTCTGAGTTTTATTGAAGACAACATAGTGTTTAAAAGTAAGGGGATATTTTATCGCTTATTTTGCCTAACAGTAGTACATACGAGTGCGAACCTGCGAAATGCAAAATCCGGAAGCATTGCCGTTGACTTCGTCAAACATCTTTACCACTATTGTTTTCCAACATAATTACTTGACATTGTTAGTACAATGAAAGTCTACCTGAGATAATGCACAAATCCTATTGTATGAGAACAAAGATTGTAAGGATTAACACATGCTTTTCACACCGTTTGCAAGAAGTTTGATGCTGAGGGATTTAAAACCATCTTTAAGCCTTGTAAATGAATCATGCCTTGTTAAAGAGGGACTTAAAATAGCAAACAAGTATGTACAAATCAGCAGAAATATTAAGGCAAGTAGCTAGCAATGATTACTTGATATATTTAGCCTATGAAGCACAATCTGAAGACGAGCAATTGTTAAAAGTGTAAAACTCACAGTGCGGCACGACAGGGCTTGTGTGCGTAAATGGTCAAGAAGTGCCCCATGGGAGAGGAGCAACGACTGTCGGTAAAATGCGATCAGTCAGAAGACTGATTGGCCAATTTTAATAACTGTCAATGGTGCAAAGATTTTGTACAGCTTATCACTATTGTGGCTGCATTGTCATCTATCAATCCATGAAGTTTGTAGTAATTTGCAGACTGCATTGCCTCTGTTTCATTTTCCTTGGATGCGACCTATTTAGGAGGGGAAAAAATGGCTCAAATAAGTGGTCGCCTGTTAAATTAAGGTTTAAATGCTGTGCTAGGGTAACAAATTGCGCGATATTAGGAGCAGGAGGAGGGCGGGTGAGCTGCTAAACCCTTGAAGCAGACTACACCATTTCCCGATGCATTTCTCGGTCTCGATGGTAACTATTTAAGCGATTTTTTAAGTGCATATCAATCCCACTTGTTAGTGCACGTCTCGAGAACAAACACTGTCAACAGTAGTTCCTGAAGAGCAGTCTTCTACTCACTTATGGTGTTTAGATTAATGAGTGAGTAGAAAGCTGATGGTAAACTTTTTAACTATCACACAGGAATCATAACGGTTTGTGTTTAATGTCTTACTTTTATTACAGTTGCATTCCCCACCTCACACCGTCAATAAAGTTGACGCGTCATTGGTGCGTGGGCATTGATACCCAAGGCCCGCCCACACGAGGTTAAGGATGAGGAAAGTAGGGTGAGATTGTGTCAATGGAGAGTGGCTTTCAACCACGCTGTCACATGCTAAATCCCACGAGGTAATCCCATACAGCGCGACTATCTGGAGGTGTTAATGCTAGTTTTTATAGGATTAGTAGTGACATTGCTTATGATACTCTTCCATTCGTCCACAGCCTAACATCGATCCCCACTTCCAGAGGAGTACTTGTCTCCTCTGTACAACCTTCTGGTTCTCAGCTCACTTTGCCTTCCAGTTTCGCACTTTTGTAACTACTGATACGAAGATCGGGGGATATAAGTAGTATGGAGCGACTTAACAGTGAGAGATCGAGGATGAGCATGTATTACTAATAATGGAGGTAAATAGTGGTAAGTTGTTGAATAATATGTAGTGGAGCAGTTATCGTCACTCTCTAAAGCTATGAGGAGAGAATTCTCTGAGTGAATTACTGGAGGCGCTAATTTTCTTTTCGTCCTCTCCAAGGCGTCGCGCTCAAAGGCAAGAACATTGGCAGTGGAGGGTATCAAATGACGCTTTATTCCCCTTTGTGGTTTTCCTACCTTCCAGTCCTTAAAACAGTTGCTTGTCGGTGGTGCTCAGCCCCTTCATGGGGGTCCTTTTGTAAAGAAAAGAGTGCATTCGCTTACTTGTTAACTTCACTTAATAAGGGAAACGAGGATGCAGCCATCGCCTTAACAACCAGACCACCCACTTTGGTGGAACTTTAAAAAAAAACAACTGACATTGCCAGGTTGGAGCGGCCTGTCAAATCAAACTCCACTGCCACTTCAGCTGCAGTAAGGCCGACTCAATTTGTCCGACAGAAGATCTCAAACAACCTGATGCTGATCAGGACACTTTTTAAATTCTTGCAAAATGTTTTTTCAACATAAGTACTGCCTAGAGCCCTAAATCTAGTTTGCCACTTTATTTCAAATTAATCAACTAAAGTTTGAATGTTTATTTGAGAGCTTTTGTAATGTTATAATTGCCTGACAGTCTGAACTGCAGTGCAGATGACCACAACAGTTTTGCCACCTCACAACAACATGATTGTGCAGATGCACACATTTGCGATGGCCTTTTGTGCCACGACAAAAATGCACAACGACACGTCTGATGTCTGCGATGCTGTGACCGTGTCAAGGCACCGACGTGACGGGCTGAGTGGACCAACGGTGAGGTGAAGAGCGCATGACTTTTAGGGATTTTAATTGTTCTTCCCCTCCCAAGCCTCTCTCCTCCCTTCAGGACGCCTCCTGGTAGCCCACTTTTAACGCCTTCAACATTTCGAGATAAAACAATTGTAGCGAGTGCAGCACTGCCACACCGCTTCTCCCTGACCACCACCGAAAAAATCCTTTCAAGGCACATGAGTGTTACTTATTCCTTGCCTCCACTTCCAAAAAAAA